GCAAAAACGCTCGCCTGAGTTGCGCATGCATGAATTATCGCGCACGCGATAACAATGATGCGCGCTTCTGCGGAACACGCGACGCGTTGCGTAGAATCGCGCAGGGAACGCGACGACAACGTCAATGGGTGGACGCGGACGCGCCGTCGCTATTCTCTCATCTCTCGGTCTCGAAAAGCGTTATTGCACGATATACGCAGTTCTTTCATCGCCCTGAGGGAGGGAAAATGTCAAAGTTTCCGAGCTCTCTTCATAAGTAACGAGCCGAGAGCAGCGGGTTCACGTGATCTTCATTGTGCTCTCGGTGACATTTCGCAACTTCGTTGCGTGGATGATGCGTTGCCCTTTTTCGCGCGCGCGCTCTTTCTCTCTTTCTCTTGTCACCGAAGGAGAATAAATTTACGGTATCGATGATGTGATTTCGGATTACAATTGCACCGGTATGGAAAAGAGACGCCGGTCATTTCGCCGACCCTTGGCGCGTTTTTAATGAAAGTACGATGACGCGCGCGCGCCTACACGAGAGAAATATTGTAGTAAAAGTCACGTTGAAAATATATATCTTTTTATAGCGTTTCTCTGTAAATCTGAGCCGTACAGAATTTGCGATATAAATCACTACAGAGATAATCAATTTGACCATCTATTTGCTGTGTAAAATATAAAAAGAATAAAACACTCAAACAAATGCAATAATTCCGTAGAAAAAAGGTGCGTAACATTTGGAAGCAAATACATAGCAATTTCGATCGTAAGTCGCGTCTAAGATGCGAAAAATTTGACCGTAATTTTACCTACAATATTTCCGCCCTGTGCGAAGCCCTCGCGAATCATTCTCAAAGAACGAGAACGAGGTAGCAAGACAAATGGGGATGGGAGGGAAAAATCAACTGAGCTTGAGCTAACGAGCCGACGGGTCAGAAGTGCACTCGTAAATTCGGCTAGCGAGAAAAGCAGAATAATTTCCGAGATGAACTTTCGATGGACTCGGCGAATGGGAGCACCAGCGTGCCTCGGAAGGCGGTGGCGACGACGACGACGCTTTTCTGCCTAGGCCGATAGGGGTCGAAGACTACCCAGAAACGAAGAAGGGGCGAATGTTTGAATTCGCCCACGTGTTGGCCGCGTGACGTCACCGCCCAGCGTGTGGGCGTAGCGCGAGTGAGCGGGAGCGCTAAGAAGGAAGAAGAGGGATGGAGTGGAAATAGGAAGACCGTGTTGGGGAGAGAGCGCGCGCGAGAGAGAGAGAGAGAGAGAGGGGG